CTAACCACTGGGTCACCTTGCAGCCCGGTTTAGTAAATGTAAATGTAAAAAAAATTATATCTAGCAGTCTCCAATAGGCTGAGTGAGTTCAAAACTGTGAAAATGTGAAGCGTATTTAGGTTGTCTGTTCCCTCTATTGTCAAAAATGCTGATGTAGCACTTTTCTTCTTCTTCTTGTCTTCTTCTTTTCCAATGGAAATTTGGTTGGAGGTAAACATATTGACCAACCAGTTGGGTTGGAGACTGTAGCCGTAGAGGAACTGGTTGATTTTTTTTATGCACAATTCTGAAGTCTTCTTGAGCAAATCTTGGGATTGACTTCATCCATAGAAGAACTGAGTTGTTTACTTTTAGCTGTTCACTTGTCCTCATACGCTGATATAATGTAGCTTTAGTCGCAGATGATATCAGATCCCAAGATGCAAGTGAGTGGACTCGCTGCTGACATTCTTAGACTGGTGTCCAAACAGAAAATGCAATTAAAATAATGGATTTTAACCATTTGTATTTGTAAGACATGGAGGTTCAAGTGTAGTTGTGGTAAAACATTGTGCACCATTTGGTATTTGCTACCTTTAGTTGCAACAAAAGGGCATTATGGGCGACGCTTCCTTACACTGAAAGTCCAAACCTCTATGCACTAACAACTGTCAGATATAATGAATAATATACATACAGGTTGAATTACACGTGTCAAAAACGAGAAGCTTTTTCATGTTGGTCATTTTAACCCACTAAAATATAACTAAAGGTGTTCAGCGGCCTTAAATTCTTCTGCTCTGGTGATCTCTACATAAACCTTTTATTTATAAAGGAAGTTATTTACATTTAAAACTGCATTAACAGCTTTTCTGTGTCTACTTTCCAGCAAGCTTGACATTTGGCCCGCACACGGAGAGGTCAAAGAACATCCAGGACGCGTCGACGAGGTGATTCTCTTCAGTTCCGCCTCCTGTTCGCCGCTTGACTGATTCGTCACACTGCTTTGTGTCAAATTAAGGCGTCAGTCATTTGAGCTCGCAGTTGTTTAAAATCAACTGACTCCAACGATTCCAATTTCCATCTCATAACAGCCTTTCATTTCCTCTCCAACACGTATGTACAAACACACGCAGCATCTCCGTCTTTATTGCGGCCCGGGGCTAACATTAGCGCAGACAGGTAGGATAACAAGTGTGATTAAGGTTAATAATAGCATTACATCAGGCTGCCAGCGCACCAGTCGCTGTGTAATTGTGTGTACGCCAGAGAACGTTTTTTCTGCTGATGTGCTTCGGTTTGATTAGCAACAAAGTCCCAGAATTACCCTGAGCTCCCTCCTGGTCCGCGGCCTTTCATCTCATCTCATCCTGGATTTTCACGCTCGTCCACTCGCACTTTTTTTTTTTTTCCATCCCTTCCTTCTCGAGCTTTTTTTTTTTCCCTCTTCGACGTTTGTTTCAAGTGGAAAAAATGATTTAAACTAGTTATGTCAGCCCAGTGAGTTATTTATTTTCTTAACACTGAAAAGGAAGTGCCAATACAAGTCTACAAGCTTTAACAGGGATTAGGTTGGAGCGTTGCGGTTGTTCGGAGCAGGCGACTCCTGCACAAACAAGTTCGAGACGAGAACAGTGAACATTTCTATGAATTCAGATTAATTTACAATGATTTTACTGCTCTCAATTTTAGCTTTAATTAAACTGAATGTATTTTTTTTCGCAAACACTTTATCAACTGAAACTTTTGTTAGCAGACTGGCTAACTGTGTAACACGAACCACAGATATATGAAGGTAAATAGCTCATATTGGCCTGTGTGATGAAAATACCAAACTATTTTAGTGCCTATCAGTGTTCTAATTAAAGAAATGCCAAACTTACAAAGAGAATGACATTCCAAAGGTGAGATATTGTTTAAACTGCAGGTATTTGCTTAATATTTAACTTGCAAATGTGTTGAATTTGATAGTAATCTCTCTTTTAAGTTAACATAATTAACCTTTCTATTACCTTCACATTTACTGACATCTTTTATCCTTGGGTTCACTTTGACTCCAGCAATTTAAACCTCCAGAAAATGATCATAGTTACCTAGTTTATGTGTAAATAGCCCTTTAAATAAAACTGAAAAAATGATGTCAATGATTTAAGATAATAGGAGGGTTAAATGAAATGATGGATTTTATGCTAACAGTCAGGAGAGGAGAAAAAAAAAGGACAAATTTTTTTTTAAAGCAATATTTCATTTCCTGATGTTTTTATTTTCACTTGTAAAAACTATGAGAATGTTGTGTAGGTCATGTTTAACTCATCAAAACACACTCGTGAAACCTGCCAGATGATGTATGTCATGTTTCAATGTAGGTTTTTGTTGTAATCAGACTATTTTATTTAAATATGTCCAAAAAGGATAAGAAAATGGGAATATTTAAAGAAATTAATTAAGAAGAGTATATCTTAGAGTAACCCTAGTGATGATTAAGCGGTGTACAGATAATGGATGGATGGATATTTCAGAGTACATCCTAAATATTATATTATGGAAATACATATTTATCTCCAAAAAGATCAAGTTTCTTGGTATGAAAATGTGATTATGTCAATTGTTTGAACAGACCTACAGCTTTACACTACATTAGAAGTAGAAGCCTGTCTGTACTAATACAGCAGCTTCAATGATCGATGACTTGTGATGATCAATAAGCACCGATTGGGATATAATTACTTTTGGCCAACACAAAATTATAAAAAACAAGGAGCAGTATTGTTCTTGCATTGCAGCATGGAACTAGCTAGCTTTAATGTTATAATAAAGTGGAGGGAATATGTCATTTTAGGTGTTTTCTTTCTCTAAAACTGCTAAACAGGCCTTTTTCTAACAAATCTTCACCCCTTTGTCACAATAGTTAATCACATGCTAACAGCAGCTAGGTGTTTAGTCAGCCTGATAGCTGGGAATGCTAACAGTTAGCAGCTTTTCTACCTCAACTATTATTTTAGTTTCTTCTCATCCTCTCTTACAGACAGAGACCAGGGATGTTAACAAACAGGGATCAGGTGTAAGCAGAAGAAGTGTGAGTCCAGGTGGGACGACACAGGACACAGAGGACGAGGAGTACGAGGAGGAGGAGACACCTGGGACGCCTGAGAGACCGGGGATCCTGAGCCGACTGGCCAGGTAGGTTTGGCAGCGGACAGAAAACCACAAGACCGGAGGTTTGTTCATACACTTGACTGAGTTTTACAGCCACAGGAGAAAGGAGCTGACTCGTCCTGTGGATGTGCGAGAAAAAGAAGTTGTCAGATTACAGTGGTTCTGGGGAAGTCCGGCTTTTATATACACAGAAATTACAATATTTCTGTGAAATGTCTCTTGAGAGAGACGCCAGATGTCCTGAGGCACAACAAGGACCGACAAGACCATGTTCAGCACAAGCATGCCAAACCATCGCACAAGTTTAGTCTTTTAATAACGATATTCAGTAGCAGCCGTATGGAGCGAGTCCAGGAGCCCAGGAGCCCAGCGCTGCGGTGATCCTGAGTGTGATTTATTCACTACAACAGACTGTTTTTTCTTTGCAGCCACGTCTTCTCCTTGTTCTTCAAAGACCCCTGAGAGCTGAAGGTTTCATAGCGAGAGCACTGGTTTGTTTTAAGACTGCTGAACAGATGGAGAGACCGCGCCATGCTTTTGTTGTAGCTTCTCATTTACACTAATAAATGTTGTTTTCTTAAAGATTCTGTCCTGGTTCTGTATCATTCTCTGATGGGTTGATGATGCATTCCTCACTTTTTTTCTATTGCGTTACATATAATAACTAGAGCTTAACTTTTTTCTGGTTGTAAACGCGAAAGCAAACCTGATTTTTTTTAACCTTTTCAACAAGATAAACCTTTATGAAGACTAATAAAGGTCACTAAAGGTTTAATTGTTGTACTGAGGAGCACAGAATCTTTAGTTTTTTTGCAGAATCTGATGTGAGCAGATTATATATTTTAGAGGATTTATCAAACTGGGTATGTAGAATTAACTGATTTTGATAAAACGTCACAGTTTCAAGCTTAGACCTAATTGTATTTCCTGATGAAAACATACATTCGGTGGTCGCCAAAAGTTGAAAATCTGATAGTTTCTCCACAGAAATACCAAACACATAACAGCAACAAAGGATAGATATAGAGTCTTAAAAAATAAACATATACACCTACTAAAATCTGCAGCAGCTTTCGCTAAAAAGGAACCATTTTGTGTCTATTAAAAAGTGGAAGATTCAGACTAAACCCACATGTAGAGGTAAATAAATCCTCTTCGTTCTGTAGCTCCATACATGTGGATTCTAGTTTAATCAAAATTTACTTTCATTCACTACCTTTTGCACCTTTCTTAGTTTAAAAAAACAGTGTTAACAAATGTGTTATTTTACTTCCATAATCTCGCTGCACGTCTGAATTTAGCTTCTTCTCTCACATGTTTCTTGGATTTAAAACTCTGTCCACCTTTTTTCCTAATTTCACACGAACCATTTAGTAAACAGGTAATACTCTGGCACTGACAGAAACCAACAAAATAATTTCCATCCAACTAATCAGATCTACTTCAACAATTCCACATTAGTTTATGCTCTAATAATTTCATTTATTTCCTGTTTTTGGGGGGTTTGTTGTGTAAAATGTCCCATTCGGTGACATCTTCGCCCCCCTTGGCTTCACAGAAACACACTCCACGGCTTTGATTCTGATAATCGTCGTCCCCTCTCTGAACATTTCCACTCCTCCGTGTCTTTGCGTGTCCTTGTAAGTCCACACCTTTACCGCACATCACCTTGTGGAAACTCCACTTTGCTCCTGTCAATCTAAATCAGCTCTAGATGCGCTGATGTTTGTCACTCGTGGCACAAAAATTAACAATTTACCTGTTAATTCACTTCATATAGGAGATGTTGTGTGTGCGCACGTGTCCACGCTTGCATGCATGTGTTTATCCGTGGGGGTAAATGGGTCAACCGGACTACAGCATCATCTGAGACACAGGAAAACTTTGCCTAATCCTCTCCTTACATTGTCATAGAGCCCAAAACAACACACACATCATTTATCTTACATCTACTTACGCACTCTGACCACACTTACAATATCCTGTCACATATCACGACGCACACACAGTCGTGCCACCCATGACTTCAATTCACATCGTATAGACGCATATATGATACACTTTCATCCACACACACACACACACTTTGACACACACACACACACACACACATGAGGAGATTAAAATAACAGGGCCGAAGTGGAAGCGGACACATTAATGATATTATAGTTATTCAAGACGCCACGGTTTCCACGGCAGCCGAAAGCGACGGGGCCACTGAGCGATACAAACATCAGTCACCCCGCTGAGTCACACTGGAGTAATGTGTGTGTGTCGGTGTGTGTGTGTGTCGGTGTGTGTTCATTGACTCCTGATGAGGTGCTGCAGCTCATTCACATTTATAGTCTCTCGGCCTCGCTCGCTCTCTTTTCTCCGGTTGGCATGGAATCAGAAGAAACACACACACGCTGGACGTCCACGCAGCTCACAGTCAACACACTAATAGTTTGTATGTGTGTGTGTGTGTGTGTGTGTGTGTGTGTGGGTCGGTGGGGGGGTTTAGGTGATGATGTCACACATTCCGTTTTCCATTGACATAACTGGAGTGGGAATGTTTGGGGTAGAGGGGCCATAAGATGATAATTGTGTTTTCCTTAGAAGGTGCATGTGTGTGTGTGTGTGTGTGTGTGTGTGTGTGTGTGTGCAGCAGTGTGAGCATCGATCGTGAATCAGTGATGAAGCGAACACGACAACCTGCTAAAGCTCAGTAAAGCAGAATTATTTTTGCTTTAATGTGAAAAAAGTGATTTAATTTAAAAGAAGTTAACATCTGATTAATTAAACTTTTGAATAATGGTACAATAATAATGTAAGTATTTCTTTAGTTGCCGTATCGACATGTGGGACCATTTCTGAGCCCAGTAAAATGAACAAAGATGTAAATCTAACGGTGGAGTTCACATCTAAGCAAATAAAAGTTCTGTGTACTTTAAGTGTCACACAATCTAGAGGTCAAAATCACTGCATGTTAAAGCTAACTAAGCTAAACTGGTTAGCTTTAACTCATTTTCTTACCAAATTCTAGTCCTCTGTCAACTATCATAATTTTAAAGAGTCCATATTCTCTCTTTCCATCAATGTGTAATAAATTCAATGGTGGTGTTTCCATGCAAACATAAAACAGTTACTTTTACATTTAAATTTTTAAAACTGAAACACATCATGTGTGTCCTCAATAGCGCTACTAGTGGTCTAAAGACCTGCAGGTTAAAGCTAACTAAGCTACAGTCATTAGCTTTTACTTATTTTCTTACTAGTTAAAAAGGTAGAAAATCAGTTGAAGCTAATTAGTTAAGGTAATAAGTAAAGTTAATTAGTCAAAGTTACTTTTCTGGTAAGGAAGTAGAATTTAACTAATCTTCTTACCAGATTCTTTTATCAGCTTTCTTCAAACTATAACTTTAGTTTTGCATTTTTTAGTCCTCCATCAACATTAATGCCCTCTGTCATAATTTTAAAGAGTCCATATTCTCCTTTTTCATCAATGTGTAATAAATTTAATGGTGGAGTTTCCATGTAAACAAATAAAAGTTACTTTTACATTAGGGGTTACACATGATGCGTGTCCTCAATTGCACTACTAGTGGTCTAAAACCCTGCAGGTTAAAGCTAACTAAGCTAAATTAGCTCAATGAAGCTAAGACAGAAGCTAAAACAAAGTATTTCAGATGGAGGGTTAGAAGAAGTTCTGCACCTATGTATTGTACGAGCAAAATATTGTGTTTTTGAAAAGTTAAAGCATGGAAAGATAGTATAGTAGACAAAATTCCAATCTTGTAATGTGCACAATATGGACTCTTTAAAAAAAAAACTGTTGCAGATGTGACCTGGTAGTTTTTGTCTAATCCTGCAAACAGACAAACAAATGACACATTAAATACACAACTTTTTCTTGACATATGTATATGGCACAGTAACTCATGACAACCAACAGAATAACAGTCTAATATCTATTAGTAGTTAAACAACAAGGCAACAGCAGAGACAAAGATGCAAAAAAAGTAGCAGCTGGTTTATACTTCATGAGTCCTGTGAAGACGAACTCAAGAGCAGAAATGAAATAAAACTGTTGAATGAACTTAACACTGAAAAATGTCCAGACGTACATTCAGACTTTAGTGCCTCGAAAGAAGATGAATGCAAGATGTTAATGATACGATTGGATGCAGTGATTTTTAATTTGTTCGAGATTATAAGTAACAAATGACTCGTGCACCGGAAACGAACCTTCACTCTTTGTGCTTTAAACACGCATCAAAAACTTTGTCTCGGGAAAATTGTTTGTTTTCTTTTGGAAACACTCTGAGCTGCCTTAACACTCAGCAAAATGAGAGTTTAGGAGTCAAACATGGAAAGAAATGATTGGAGAAGAGGAGGATGTTGCTTAAAGTTATTTTTTATCACAGTGTTCCTTCATCAGAAATACTTTGGAGTGTTTCATCTTTTCTGACTGAATCATCTCCAGCTGGAGGACAGAAATGGAGCCGATAGTTTAGCACGAAAACGTCTTCCAACTATCTTCATTTCAATCACACACAGTTGTTTTTTTATGGGCTGTGGTTCTGCTGTTTGAGGTCGACTGGCACATTATCAAGTTTGTCAGAGACTTAGATCAATTATTAAAGTTAAGATGGATTTTCCTTGTAAAGCTTAATATCAGCGGGTTGTGGCGCTCGCTGGGATTTGCAGGCCCTCAGCAACAATCAAGTCCCATCGCGGCTCAAACGCTCTTAAAAAAACCTTCTAATGCGATCCTGCTCCAGAGAGTCTGTTCCAGCAAAGAAAGACATTTGTTCATTCACCCTGAAACCTAATTTCCAAAGTGCACTTCGGGGTCTCTGCTCTCACGTTTGAAGAATTACGCCGTCATCAGCGGTCTGATCTGGCAGCTCTTTGTGACACGCCGCCGAGGCCGCTCACGACGCGAACTAATAATCTGAGAGTCTGTTTAAAGGATGTCTGGAGTTTGGAGCGGGCCGGTTGCTAAGCTGACGCTCCGAGACGAGGATGAGGAGAAGCAGAGCCAGTCGTCCTCTACAATAAACCCGCCATGTGCCACACACATCTGACCCAAACCCACAAGATCTCCTGACCCGACCCTGTCCTTCCTCCTGCCGCCGCAAATGGAAAACCCAGGCCGGCCTTTGAGTGTGTGACTGAGGTCTCCCATTCATTTATGAGTTCACTTGTAGTGAACTGGCAGCAGAGGCCCACGTTATTATTTCGATTTTTGTTTTTTTCTCCGTGCAAGCTTACATGTGCGCTTCGACGTGAGCGTCTCCTTGCATTTGCACGAGGGAAAAGCTGTGCTCGTACAATTTGTGGAAAACCTATCTAGTTTTCCTCTGTGTCACAGTCGCCCCCCCTTCACCACCACCACCATCATCATCATCATCATCAACGGTTTAAAGAGGAGGAGGGACGAGGCGACGCAGTCCGGCCCAGACAAACGAGAGATTTGAATGTTTTTTAGCGTGTTGCTGTGCAGGTAGAGACGGTGGCTGCAGACGAGTCGAAAAGAGAAAAAAAAAAAGCACACTCTCTAATTGTGGGTGTGTCCAGAGCTATACCTGTGTTACTTATATCCCTGCATGAGGCTCAGAACACACACACCTGTCAGACGACCAACAGCTGATCTGCACTCAGAGCTCCACCACTCCAGGACTCCAGGTGAGACTTTTAGCTGCTTCGGTGCATCGTCCTGCATGTGTTGGTGGAATAGCCCTTTAAATCCTGCTTCACTGTCGAGTTCAGATGTGTTTATATTGTTTTCTTTAAACCGGATTAGGTTCAAATGAAGAAGTTAAATTTTGTGCTAATTTATCTTGAGGAAAATGTGTTTTTATTAGCTGATGTAATATGTTCACACTATTAGAGGATTAATCTTAATATACACGTGTGTATTATACATCTGTAAACCAATAGATAGATGCTTTTGCTTTTATATTAAACTTAAAAAACATTTTTATAGCAAGAATTTAAAAATGGGCACAAGTTTGTAAAGGAGGATTTGCAATGTTTGCTCTTCTTAGTTGATGTAGATTCCAATTACAATCAATATTTTAGTAAAAATAAGCATTTTTATTAATTAGATGATGGATTATTTAGACTTTTTTTGTTTTTAAGTTAAAGAAAATGAGTCACACTGAAGCATCACATGACAAAACAGCATCAGATGGGAGAAAATGTGACTTTTTTGAGTTATCCTGAGCCTAAATAATGTACAAAATGCCATCACACTAGTTATAAAAAAAGAAATTGTGCTTGGATTGCTCATTTTTGAGTAGATTCAATTTGTGACACTGAAAAAGCTGATTGCACTTGAGAGTAACAATCAATATAAAAGGCACTTTTCACTGTTTAAACCCTCT